AACAGACAGACAGACAGACAGACAGACAGACAGACAGACAGACAGACAGACAGACAGACAGACAGACAGACAGACAGACAGACAGACAGACAAACAACAAACCAAAAAAAACCTTAGCCCCTCCCACAAACGACCTTGAAGCCCTCTCTCACCTCATCGTCCGAGTCCACCTCCTCGCCCTTGTCCTGGTCCTCGGCAAAGCGAATGACGCTGTCGCGGGGCCGCTCCCCCTTCTCCGTGAAGCTCCCTTCGGTGGCGATGCTGCCTTTAAGAAGATTTTCTGTATGTAGAGAAGGGACAGAAACACACCACGGGCTGTCACCATGCAGCACACATGAGGACACGCGCTACACACAACACGGGGAGAGGGGGGTGAGGTGAACCCTCCAGTCCATTCCAAGAAAAGGAAACTAAAAATAGCTCTAGACAAGGTCTTTGGTAAATAGCTCACTATCAATTCCAAGCTGTCACGTCTTTTAGAAAGTGCTGCCCAGGTGTCAGAAGTCCATTCTGTACCACACCACACATTCCCCCCCCCCCCCTTCCACCCTAAAAATATACTAGATCTAGTCTGCTACAAAAATGTCCAACTTTCCCTCTCTTCTTGATACTTGAATATTAGCAGTCGTTCAAAATTTAAATCGAATACCAAAGAAGGGGAACAATACAACAGAGGTTTTCAACGGTTAAAAATAACATCCATAAATATTATATGCTGCGCCAATTAAAGTGATTATATGCTGCGCCAATTTGAGTGAAAAATGTCAGGCTAGTCCACGTTACCCTCACTACTTTCTACTAAAACCATCTTTTTAATTGTGCCTTTCTTTTTCTTTATTGAAAATGATTACATGTTTTCAGTTACACCAAAGTATCATAAAGCAGGACGCACGGAAAAGTTTCTCACCCTTATATCACAAACAGGGCTCTTGAGCGGACTTTTATAATTAGATCAGAGTTTCAGGACTGCAAATTACAGAGAGAAAAAATACTCGCACAACTGGAGTGGATAAAATAAATTATATTTCAGTGTTTTTAAGCGGAGACTAGTACTGTACATGACTAGCTGGCCTCATTACACTGTCAAAAAAAATAAATTAGTACTACTTCAAGGAGCAACAGAAATGCTGGCTGAAATAAAAATGTTTAAAAACCTTCTTGTCTTGGAATTTTGGGGAAATTTTCTTGGAAAGGACTGCAGTGTAGCACACACGTGTCAGTAAGGCCACATGACAATCATGCCGTTAGGGAAGGCGCGAAGACTCTTTCGGTTTTAGTAAGCATTTTACGGCACTTGCAACACAATGAGGTCATATAAGTGCCGAAGTTTAGAGGCGTTACAAGCAAGTAACAAAAGCAAAGATGGAAAGGAGGAGAGATAAGGATGATAGATATTAAATGGGAAAGAAGTAAGAGTAAACCATATACCAGAGCACCCGCCAACCACACGCGTCGAGAACACTGACCTGTTCATATTGCAACCGACAACTCCTTAACACTCACTCAGCATGCTGCTTTATTCTGGCCTCAAAATTCTCCGGACATGTGCCAGTTCGGGCTTTTCAAAAGCTACTTTTTTCCTTTTTTTTTTTCCTTTTCTTTTCTTTTTTTTTTTTTTTTTTTTTTTTTGGTTTTTTTTTTATTTTTTGTTTGTTTTTGCTTTGTTTAGGTTTTTTTTGTTTTGGTATACGATACGGCCAGGGATACAAACAATACTGGTTCCTGGTGAAAAAGGACATTTTGTTTTGTCTTTTTTTTTTCAATTGTTTTTTATTAAACTAATGCGGGTTCCAGCCCCCATCAACACAATATAAATCAATTTTGAGACAGGCTTCAACCCCAACCATCGAGGTCAACCCCAGCTGAGAGGGAAACACTACGTCCCAGCACAGAGGAGAGACGCGGATATTCGATAAATAAAAATTTTCCCCACTCAGAAACAATGGCCGTGTCTTCTGCGTGTGACCACTAAGCACCTAACCCCTACACTACAGGCACCAGTGAGGTGACTGTGGTCTACAGGACAACACCAAAGATTTCACAAGTCAGCTTCAAGTCCATGACACTATCTAATTCTCCAACACTACCTTACAAACTGCTGGACTCGGTAACGGTTTAAGTACAGGTTTAAGGCCCCTATCAACACTATTAGGTTAATCAGAGGCGGCACCTCCAAGTTTTAACGTCCATCTCCGAAAAGACCGAGCCAAATGGAGAATTAATGTAGAGTGTCTTTCCCAAGGACATAACATCGGACTGAGCTGAGGCTCAAACCCTCGAACCTACAAGCTCATGATAACTGGTCCGTTAGCCGAACCGCTAGATCACTGCGGCAATTGGCGTTAGGATGACCTCTGGCAGTAACAGCAAGAGTTGTACGTCAGGACACAACAAATGTAGGGGAGTGTCACATATAATAAGGTAACCAAACTTCAGAACTCGAACACATTAGATCGACCAGTCATTGTAAGATCCTATTATACCTCACTTTTACAAATAGCATATGGCAGAGCCTTCATTACACAGTCAAGATGTTCTCTTTCAACTTGGCAGATCCAACCTTCCAAAAAGTTTTTGATGTCTTAATAAAGATGATTTTACACATACAGTGACACAGGATGCTTTCAACCAGCACTTAACACTTTGCGGTCACTTGGCGGAATAATGCAAAGGTGAAAATTATCCGGTCCGGTCACCTGTGCCTGTGCCAGGCCCGAGAAGTCAGTTGCAGTCACTCTCCTGGCTGGGTGACCAGATGGGGGTATTTTGTACTGCTGGCTATGGGACTGCAAAGTGTTACGGCAGGACAAATTCTGGAAGTGTTGAACACATCCCCACAGAAAGACATACATACGCATTAACCTATATCTCTCCACCGCTGTTATCAAACTCCCACTTTTTACAAGCAGAACAGACGCCTAGCCACCCGCCCACCACAGATGCTGATCAACGTGTCTTTGAACACTCTCCCACCGCAGCGAGGGAGAAAAAGGAGATAACACATACAACGGTTTGACCATACAGCATGCTCAAGTCTAGTGCACAACATTTACTTAGCCCACTACTTCTTTCCCATTGGTTAGTAATATCCCCATGACAACAAAGAAAAAAGCAAAAAGCAGCAACAACAACAACAACAAAGAAACCAAGAGACAAACAAACCTTTAAAAAATCTACAACAAAAGAGAAGAAAAAAAAGAAACAAAAAATACAAAATCCCCCCCCCCCCCCCCCCCCCTTAAAAATTTAGAGTTTTAGAAAGTGTTATATGGCATTTGCAACACAATTAGTGAACATTTAAGAGCCGAAGATTAGAGATGAGATGTTACTAGAAAGCAACATACAAAGGAAAGGAGGAGAGATAAAGGATGATGGATGTTCAAAAGGAAAGAAGAAGCAAACCACACCAAAGCACCCGCCAAAAGCTCACCCAAAATTAAATTTTAAAATAAATAAAAGAATAAATGAATAAATAAATAAATAAATAAATAAACAAACAAACAAATGAATAAATAAATAAATAAAAGAACCCAGTACATATATATGGCACAACAATGGGACCTTTTTCTTAGTGTTAGGTTCTTAGGTAAGACAAAAGACAAAAATAGACACACAAGTGCATGGCAATGGTGACAACTTTCACACAGTAAGGAGACGGGGATACATGACAGGTTTTCAGGGTAACCATGACAACATTCACAAAAAGACGGGACAGTGGGCCCAGTAAATCTATGTGTCTCAAATCCGTAAATTTCAACAAGCAAAACCATTAATTTAAAAAAGAAACAAAACAAAACAAAAAAGAAAGAAAGAAAGAAAGAAAGAAAGAAAAAATAGAGGGAAAAAAACTCCTACATTGTACATTAAACTGACACATATATAAAATCTTGATAGCTGTCTAAAACTCTCTGAAGTACTTCATCAAAGCAAACACCAGGACAGATCATGGTGCATGATGTGACGTGCATATCGCCACCCATTGTGCTGGGACAGTACGACTGTCTGCTCAAGTGATTTTAGCTTTAGTACGAGTTTTACGGCACTTGTAACACATTAAGGTCATAAAAGTGCCGAAGATTAGAGGTGTTACAAGAGAGTAACAAACACAAAAAAGAAGGAGGGGAGATAAGGACGATACATGTTTGATAGGAAAGACAAGAAGAAAACCACAGTAGAGCACCTGCCAACCACCCACTATGACTGTCTGCTCAAGTGTTATATACGCCATTTTAAAAAGTGACGGATGGCAGCGTCTTACAAAAAGCAGTCGAATAGTCTCTTCCTAAAACAAATCCAAAGTTTAAAAACAATTCAAATTAAAAATGTACTTTTTTTTTACATTTTAAAATTTAACACTTTGCCATCATATTTTGGGGAATATCCCAAGAAACCCGAGTGGTAAACATCGCCAACCGGCGAGATGGGGTGGAAAAGTGTTAAAAACCCTTCTCAAATTGGGCCTCTCTCTCTCGAACTGCGTTGTTGTTGTTAGCAATCCAGTAGCACCTGAGCGTTAACTCTTCTGCATGATGCCATTCGGTAATAGCTGCATGTCTGTTCTAATTGTTGTCTTGAGGAGTAGAGGCAGTTTGATGTGTGGGGTAGCTTGGGAAGAAAACATCCCCTTAAATCAGTTAGTTTTCTACAGAAGAACAGATGGATGTTCCACTGTCTCTGAGGGGTAGTCACATAGTGGACAGGCAGCAGACTGCTTTACTCCAATTCAGTTGAGATGTTGGTTGAGGGGTACATGATGTGTTCTAAGTTGGAAGATTATGGATTGATCTCCCCTCCTCAACTCATTGATTTGATCTTTGACCAGGGGTTTATTCATGTGGCCATACATCATCTAACTGTGTCACAAACCAAACAATCTAGCCAGCCACAGGCGCGGCGTGCTCCCCTTACCCATGCTCTCCGTGTGGAAGCCTTGCTGCGGTAACAGGAAGCAGGTGAGCACCCTCTGGCCCGTGCGCTCATCAAAGTCCGTCTGGAACTTGAGCAGTGGCTGCGCCTGGTTCTCCGACAGCCACAGGGCCTTCAGGTTCAGGTTGGCGATGGTGATCGGGAGGTACTCCAGTCTGACGACAAAATAGTGGCATCGTGTCGGGTTTTGTTTGTTTTTTTGTTTTTCTTTTTAGTAATTCAGTAGGGTTTTAAGTTCTAGTAATAAGAGTATTACGGCACTTACAAAACAATAAGGTCATATAAGTGCTGAAGATTACAGGTTTTGCAAGAGAGTAACAAACACAAAAATGAAGGAGCGATAAGGACGATAGATGTTTTATAGGAAAGAAGAAGCAAACCACACCAGAGCACCCGCCAACCATCCACTTAGTAAGGTTTTACAGTGCTCCCGAATGCATAAGGTCAAATGAGCTCTAAGGGGTGGATGTCAACAGAGAAATCCAAACGGGGAATTAGGCTGACTCTGCTCACCTCTCCAGTTTCAACAGCACAAAGTCTGCTTCGACTATCAAGGCACCCTGGAAATAGCAGTTCACAAGAGAGTGACAAACATACAAAAGAAGTAGAGGAAAATGACAATAGTAAGGATCAGGAAAGAAAAAGCAGCAGTTCCCTGTTGTAGATCAGGCACAGTTATGAGCGTGACATGAATCAGCCCATTTACAATTCTACTGTGCTTGAACGAGAAATGTCCCCCCTTTGGGAATGGCCTAAAGACACTTCAGTCAAGGGCACTGCCCCGGGGGGGTACATAGATGTTCAAAAGGAAAGAAGGAGAAAGCCACACCAGAGAAGAAGCCGACAACCACCCCACAGGAGAAGAGATCAGAACGAAAGTTGTTTGACCAGAAAGAAGGAGCCCATCACACCAGAGCAGCAGCCACCAACACACACCAACACACACACACACACACACACACACACACACACACACACACACACACACCCACCCCCACCCACACCCACACCCACACACACCCACACA